GAATTTGAATGCTTTTCTTTTTAAAATACTTCTAATCAAAGACTATTTTCATTTTCTAGGCCCAGTAGGATTGGATCAGTTGTCCTTGATTTTTGTCTTTCTTACTTTAAAGGTAATCTACTTGGTGAGTTTACTAATGATAAAAACATAATATTTACTATTTTGGCTAGCACTCTATATTCGTTTGGTAAAATAGAAATTAAGTTTAATGGCTATGTAATTTTCTATAAATTTTAGTCTATCTACATTTTGTTCACAGATTGAAGTTTTGGAGCCATGGGAATAAAGGTCCCACGTCCTCGGTGTTTTTTTGATATTGCCATTAACAATCAACCTGGTAAGAGAATGTGCTCATTTAACACTTATCTGTAAGAATTTAACATTATAGAGGTTTAAACCAACTACCTTCTTTTTTTTAGCTGGAAGAGTTGTCTTTGAATTATTTTCTGATGTGTGCCCTAAAACATGCGAGAATTTTCGTTGTCTTTGTACAGGTTTGTTGATATTTTCATTTGCCCTGACATTGCTCCCATTTGTTCATGACTAGCTTTTATTTCTTAATATTCAGATAATTGAGTGTTAATAATCATTCTTAGAAATATTAGTTTTAATAGATTTTATCTGAGGTTAGTTTTTACGCATCCCATAAAAACATAGTTTGTAAATTATTATCATTTTTTAATTCCTGAGAGGAGTGAAAAGTATAGTTTGAAGGAGATTTTTTTTTTAAGGTGATTTCCCCCCGCCTCCCCCCCCAGGAGATTTTTTTTTATAGGACAAAATACCCATTAATTTTTTGCTTTACTGTTTCCTTCCTACTAAGTAGCCTATTCACTTTTATTTTCCACAGGTGAAAAGGGCACGGGGAAATCAACCCAGAAGCCATTGCATTATAAAAGTTGTCTTTTTCACAGAGTTGTCAAGGATTTCATGGTTCAAGGTGGTGACTTCAGTGAAGGTATGATGGATTTCAACAAAGCAAAGCTGTTTTCGTGCGGGTTTGTCCAGTTGTTGTCCAGTCGATTCTGACTCTTAACTTCAGGTGCCCTGGGTGATCTCCACCCCTAATCTTTGTTAAGCAGCTGAGTCCTTTAACCTTTACACCACCTAGTAACTTCATATATGTAATAATTCACACACACATTTGTATATAAACTTGTGTGTGTGTGTGTGTGTGTGTGTGTGTGAGAGAGAGAGAGAGAGAGAGAGACACACACACACCCTGGTGGTGCAGTGGTTAAATTTAGTTGCTAACTAACAAATCAATGGTCCTAACCCCCAAACCACTCAATGGGAGAGATGTGGTAGTCTGCTTCCATAAAGACTCAAGCCTTGGAAACCACATGGGGCTATTCTTAGGTCTGCTATGAGTCAGAATCAACTCAAGGACATTGAGTGGATTACTTTGTTAAATACCATGGTTTGTAAACTTAGGGAAGTTCCTGGAGACCTTAGTTCAGATCGCTTCCGAATATATATTCTTTCTGAATTTAATACACTCACATAAATAATGAGTGTAGTGTGTAATTAACATTGTACAGGTAAGAAACTAATACTTGGGGGTTCACAGAAAAGATCTTACAGCTTGTGTTTAGTGGGATATAGGTTATAAAGTGGGATTGTTTCATGTTGGTTCCAAGACTGTAAACCTTTATGCAAACAGTCTCATTTTTTCCTGTGGAACAGCTGGTGGGTTTGAACTACCAACCTTGTGATTACCAGCCCAACATCTATCACACAGTGCCACCAGGCCTCCTAGAGGTACTTAATTAAGACTATATATAAGAAAAAAGAATAGACCAAAAAGCTTTATTTTTGATTCCTGGATTCATTTCAGAAATGTATTTTCAATTAAAAAATAAAACACTTTATCTGGCAGGAAAAAGGATATGTGTTACAGCTTTTCATTGCTGGTAATACTTTCTACAATATAATTTTTACCCATTCTATTTTGTTATAAGAACATTGGAAGTGTTTTTATATGTGTATATGTATATTTTTATTGGCACCTAATCCACATATCATGTAGTTTAATTGTTCAATCATATCAAGAAGAATTGTACAATCTTTACCACAATCAATTTTAGAACATCCCCCCTCCCTCCCCATGATTAAATCACCTTTCAAAGGAGTTGTGTATCACTATCAGTTTTAGTGCTCCCTTCCCACTTCCTCTTTCATTGTTTACTTCTGGAATCTCTCCACCCTCCCTGTCAGCCACACCCCAGCCCTACATTCCCTACTGGAAGTGTATTTTTAAAGGCACTTTAGTTTTAGTAAAAGACTTATATATTCATCATTAGACTGAATGTTTTTTTCCTAACATATCTTATACGTTCCATCACATTCTTTATTATTGTCTCAGTGGGAAAACGTTTATTTGGTATCTTGTCAGTCTTGATAATAAATTATTTTATGAACTGCTATGATTGTTTGAGAATTTGTTGATTCAAAATAACTTTGAGTGCTTCCTTACTTTGTTAGAAGCATTTTGTTTAGGTAGCATCTTCAGGGAGCTGATTGGAGAATGCTAAGAGTCTACATTTTTTATATTCTTAGGAAATGGACGAGGAGGGGAATCTATTTATGGAGGATTTTTTGAAGGTAAAAGCGTATTCATTTAAATGATCTTTTGACTTCTATTTTATTTGTTTGGTTATTTTCTTATCCAGTAACATTGTTTATTAAATAGTATAGTAATATACAGCCACCTTAAACTAATCTAGAGGTTATTTTGTGAAAAATTTTATATTATACCACTTTTATAGAGATGGGACTTAGGATATTAGTGCATGCCATTATTTGAAGGATTACAGTGATCTATACTAAATTCTTAGAATTGTAACATAAGAACGTCCAGTAAAGGAGATTTAGTAGTAGTTTCTAGTAACTCTATGCAGTGTTGGTTTGTTTTAAAGGTTTTTTCTTTCCTTGTAAGTCTTTTAGTTTCCCCCTCAAAATTTTCCTTTTTCCTCTGAAATATTTTATTAATGTGAAAGAACATTGTAAAATTCTATACACATGTGAATATCAAGTTACTTTAATATTTTTCATTATTCATTTTTAGGACTAAATGAAGTTTAGTATCAATTTATAGTTGTATATTCTCACATTCTAATCCAAGATTAGACTAGATGGTAGGTCCTTCATAATAGGTGATGCTGTGGCAGAGGTGAAATTAATGACTGCAGCAGTACTGTCTGTGCTTCTCTGTACAGGCGGCTTCTATCGTTATCTGAAAATAGAAATAACCTGAATCTTGTCATAAACAAAGGTGGCATACAGTGAAGAGGCAGTTACTATTAAATTATATGGGAAAACTTCTTGAGCATTCCTAGACCGCAAAAAAATACCAAGTAGCTCATAAAGCTTACAAACAATACTGACATACTTTTCACAGCTACAATGCAAAGCTAAGGTGGTTTGATGCTGAGGGTAGTTGCTGGGGAAGGACTTGACAGTAGCTTCATTTTCATTTTTGCAACTTAACTGTGAAAGTCATTTTCAGATTTCTTTTGGTTAGGGAAAACAAGTATTAATATAGATCTTTCCTAAAAGTAAAGTGGTGTAAAGTGAAATTTTGAAAAGCCGCGCATAACTGTTCTCAGAATAATCCTATCTTAAATATCTTCTTTCTTTAAAGGAGGGCTTTTTTTGGTTATATATGTAAATAAGCAAATAAAGTCATTTCTAGAACCCATAAAGGACAAGTGGAAATGGGAAGAGAGTTGGTATACTGCTTGGGTTTTCTATAAGTATATAGCAAAGAAAAGAGAATTAGGAATAGTTTATCTAAAAAGTTAAGGGAAAATGGAGTAATGTTTGATTTTCTCTTCTTTTGTAGCCTAACTTTATTATCTAAATGTTATATGAACATTATAAGAACACATCAAATATGAAGAGGAGAGAATGAATTTTGGGGGAAATAATGCCTATAATGTAACCGAAAACTTTGCTTCTCTGTAGATGAGAGTTTTGCGGTTAAACACAACAAGGAATTCCTCTTGTCAATGGCCAACAGAGGGAAGGATACAAATGGTTCACAGTTCTTCATGTAAGTATTAGCATCTGGTGATTCAAAGTAGCCATTTCTGTGTCCCCTCAGTTCTCTGTATGCCTACCATTATTTCCTTTTGAATAGGGTAGGGATCAATAAACAGATAAAGAATTGTTTCTTTCTTTTCTAAGAATTGAAGGACCATGATGGTGGGACAGGAGGAAGGTGAAAGGAAACAGGAAAGATCTAGGAAGTATAGTTATGGATAGAAGTATAAACATAGGTGTGCACTCATATAAATATGTCAATTCATAAAAATAGAGGTATTGGCCTATGTACATATATTTATGTAGCAATATATTGAGGAAGTGGACGGCATTTGGGCCTCTGCTCAAGCCCAACCTCAACGCAAGAACACTTGGTTCTAACAACCTGACATTCTGTGATGTTTACCTTCTCTGGCAAAATCGCTGAATACAATGGGTGCATAAGCAAATGTGGTAAAGAAGCTGATAGTGCCCGGCTATCAAAAGATAAATCTTTTGGGATCTTAAAAGCTTGAAGTTAAACCCCAATGAAATGATTTTTTTAAAAGAATTGTTGAAGAAAGGAAAAAGAAAATTGTATAAAGGGGGTGAATAGTTGAAGTAGGAAGCTGAACTGAGCTGTTGTTGAATTTTCCTCTTCTATCTACAGAAGAATTGTGACCAAGTTTCCACTAGCTTATTTTTTATTGTTCTTTGTGGGTATGGGAGGAGCCCTATTGGTGCAGTGGTTAAAGAGCTTGATTGCTAATTGAGTGGTTGCTAGTTCAAACCCACCAGCCACCCCATAGGAGAAAAATGTGGCAGTCTATGTAATCATGGAAACTCTGGGGCACGACATCAAGACATTACATCTCCAGTTTATAGACCATGGCCTCCTCTTCTTTTGAGCCAGAACTAGATAGTGCTCGGGTATCGCTGTTGAATGATCCGCGCTGCTCACAATAGAAGGCTTGTAATAGAAAGGGAGAAAAATGTAGAACCACAACTTCAGATTCTGAAAGAATCCAGACTTACTGGAACCATTCATAGTGGCAGAATTCTTGATTGCTGTGGCACAGTCTTTTACACTATCCCCTGAAGTTATCTTTTAACTAAATATCAGGTTAGCTCAAAGTGAAGAATGCTCCACTCATTGTTGTACTCTTGAAAAATTATCTTAAAGGAATCAAATGCCCCACAGTTAACAAGCGTAGAGGAGAGAGGAAGCATTGGGGAGCAGTGAGACTAAGTTCATGGGAATGGACCAGTTAGAACAGAGTGAGGAGGATGTTTACATAATGTGAAGAATGTAACCATAGTCATTATGTAGAATTTGTATGAATGGGAACTTATGCTGTGTATGCTTTTATCCGAAATACAATAATGTTTCTTTTTAAAAGATAGAGCTTGGTCCCAGCAAAATCAAGAATATTCAACAGGAACACTCTTGTCTTTGCCATCTTTTAGTTGGGTTTTATTTTCTAGCATTACATTGTGAGAATCAGTTTGTTGTGAAGTTGTTATTTATGATGACTGGATTATAAGCAAGCAGTACAGCACTTAATGGTCCTGAGAGGAACACTTACACTACAAAGACTCCAAACTAGATTCATTGTCATGAAACCAGTTCAGATTCACAGCGAAACTGTGGGACAAAGTAGAAGTGCTCCTTTGGGTTTGGGGCTGTAAGTTTGTAGGAGAGCAGAAAGCCTGATATTTGTCTTACAGAGCTGCTTGCTGACCTTGCAGTTCCGTCTCAGCCTGTAATGGGCTCTCCCCCCATTACAAGAATAGTACCCACTAATGAAAGAGTATTTACTTGGATTAGAATTTTTTGTGTGATTTTCCTGATACATTTGAGACCTGTACGACTCTTTGTTTGCTTTGTTGTGTTTTTATGTTAGAGAACACAGTACCAACATGTTGATTGCAACTCATAGTGACCTCTTCAGGCTTTTTACCAGAGCGGGTAGCCTTCCTTGTGCCCTTGGAGCACCTGGTGGGTTTGAACTGTTGGTCTTGCAGTTCGCAGTCCAGCACTGGACCACCACCACCACCACCACCACCAGGTGTCTTAATAGGGTTTTACACGTTTAAAAAAAAAAGATACTCAAAAAATGTCACTTCCATCTGTCACTTTAGCTGTTTATCTCATTCCCATCCATCAGTGTTAAATAGCCAACCTCACTTGTGTACCGTGTATATTCAAGTATAAGCCAACCTGACCATCAGCTGAGGCACTTAATCTTAACCACAGAAACTGCATTGAAAATGTGCTGAAAAACTCGGCTTATACACGAGTATATACGATCTTGTATTTTTCTGTACTTTTTCAAACATGAAGCACATGCTCACACATCTTGTTTCTTGTTCTCCCGGGGCTCCCATATGCGCATCCAACAGCTTCTTAGGTTCTTTTCATGTCTTCTTCAGACGTGAACATTTTATTCTGTCTTTAAATTTGCTGAATCTTATGCTTGCCCAGATTAATTTTGTGAATTTTTAACTTCAGTTAATATCACTTTTAGTTCTCTGAAGATTTCGATTTGATTCATTTTAAAAATCTCTGTTGTTACTCTCATTTGCTCACACATTGGATTTCCTTTGGTTATGTGAGCATGTTTAATGCTGTCGTTTTGAAGTCTTTAGTGTACTAAACTCATTGGTCTTATTCATGAATGCGCCTGTCACTTTATCTTGTTCTTTTGAGTGAGTCATCTTTCATTCATTTATTTGTATATCTTGTGAGGTGTTTGTTGTTGGTTTTCCTGAAAACTGGATGTTTGATTATTCTAATATAACTCTGGAAAGCAAATCCCCGCCCCCCATGTTTCCTGTTTCATTTGCTTATGGTGTAGAGCCCACTAGTTCAGTAATGTCCTTTTATTGTCACTGAGGTTCTGTTTCTTGTAGTCCACTAGTGTTTTAACAGTTTTCCTCGATTATCGGGAGGTGGGAGGGAAACCATCCTTTCCACACTGCATGTTTACTCGGAGCACGCCTTTCCCAGTTATCCAAGCTTTCTTTTATTAAGCCTAGAGATCAGGCTGGGATACAAGCGTAGGGGCTTCTCAGTTATCTTCTGGGTTTCTCAGTTAGCTACGCTTGCTTTTAAATTCTTGATTTTGCACGTGCTTATGAATGCCTTGATTTCCCAAAGAAACGTTCCCTGGTTTTCCCCACTAGTCCTTAAATGTCTGCGCTCTACCTCAGGTACACTCTTCAGCCTGAGGCACTATAGATTGATAGTGTGGTGCTCTGGCAGTTCCTGCCCTTTTTCTGCCCTGTGTGATTTCTGAATTAGGCCAAACAGATGAGATTCTGTGTCAGCCATTCAGCTAGCCCCCAGACAGGTTAGAACAAATACTATAATTTTTTAGTTAGATTTGCCCTATCCCCACTAGAACCAAAGACCAAGTGTTTGTTTTTAAGACCCTCTCTTCCAGATTGCTGCTGAGCCAGACCATGGAGCACAGGCCAATAGAAAACAAAAATGTTCCCGTTTTGAAGTTGCCTTTTCCTTACTACAAAGTTCACTTTGTTGCTGTAAACTTGTTTCCCAAAGTGGGAAGTACTGGAATGTTCTAACCAAACTAAACTCACTGCCATTGAATCGATTCTGACTCATAGCCACCCTGGAGAACATGGTAGAATTGCCCCTGTGGGTTCTGATATTGTGACTCTTTATGGAATTCGAAAGCTTTATCTTTCTCCCTTAGAACGGCTGGTATTTCGTACTGACCTTCTGATTTGCAGCCTAGTTCATAACTACTGTGCCCCCGGGGCTCTGAAATGCTCCAGGGGGGCTATGAAAACACATATCCACACTTTATCCTGGGTTGCATGCTATAGCACAAAAGGTATTCCTTGCCGGGGGAGGTGCTGAGCAATTTGTTTTCCTGAAAAGGGCTGTAGGCCAGATAAGTTTGGGAATCTATACTGTAAGCCCTTGATGGGTTTTTGACATTGTAACAAATTTGGTTCTTGATAGTCTTAAACAGACTCCTTTTTCCCACTTGACATTGAGTTGATTCCAACTCAAGGTGACCGTGTGTCAGCATAGAACTGCACTCCCTGTGCAGTTTTCAGTGGTTGTGTCTTGTTGGAAATAATCACGAAGCCTTTCTTCTGATCGTGCCTCTGGGTAGATTTGAACCTCTAATCTTTCAGTTAGTATTTGTGGGTTTAACCATTTGCACCATCAGGTAACTCCTGCACTTCTTTCTGAGTATACCAAAAAATACAAACTCCTTGCCTTCAAGTTGATTCCAACTCCCAGTGACCCTACGGGTTCTGAGGCTTTATTTACGGGAGCAGAACAGCCTCATTTTTCTCCCAAGGAGTAGCTAGTAGGTTTGAACTGTCAACCCTGTGCTTACCCAACAGTGCCACAAGGGCTCCTTTCTCTTGATTATCACAATTTTCCTTTTAATGCAACAACTGTAGAATCTAAGGTGGTTCTACTATATAGGTAGTCCTCAACTTACGATAGGGTTCCATTCCAATGACTCTTTCATGAGGTGGTTTTGTAAATGTCTACTACATCTTTTTTTTCCTTCAGTTTTCATTATTAGTACCTTTTTGATATCTTTATAAATCTGATTTTTTACTTCTCCATGGAGGTTGGACGTATTGCATGTAAACTTAGATATATTTTAATAAGTATATATACATTAAAATGCACCAGTCATCATAAAAATTTGTAAATTATCAAGGGTTCGGGAGGGAGGGAGGGAGGGGTTCTGCTTCCAAGACCCGCCTATCTTCGCTAAAGTGGTTTAGCAAAGCACTCAGCATTTGCATCCATGTTTTCAACCACCCAAAGCCTGTAGTTTAGTTTAGAAAACTAAATTGATGCTGCAGTGTTTTGAACAGTGAATCATAAATTGAACATCTGAGCATGCTAACACCAGCAAATTGCATGCTACGACACTGTATGTGGGACATATTTCAGACAAGATGCATTTATAAAAAAACTAATGGCCTTAACTGTAATTCATCCTAATTTGAATATAAGTTGGGGCTATACTTGTATATGACTTTCAAGAAAACCTTTAAGACTGGCATCACTACAGACCTGTTTTGAAACTGCTGTACAGGATAATTCTAGAATGTAAGAACTCTGATTCATTTGTTAACCGTCTGCAGACGTTTTCTGTGTTGTGTGCACTGTGTTCTTTGCTGAGGGAAATTCTTTTATTCAAGAATCTATAGCAGAGGTGACCTTATGATAAATTTCCTTTTTAAAATAAATTTCTTATAAATTGTATTTCATAGAATTTAGAGTAGGCAATAGTAATATCTAACTAGGGTTTTGAAATGAGATTTTGTCATCTGTAAAATGAGAAGATTGAACTTTCTTTCTGAAGTGTCGTCTTTTAACATTTTTGACTGTAGAAAATATTCTTTGGACCTTAAAGAATGTGTAAGTATAAACATGGGCTTAAAAAAAGTTGTGTTTTAACCGAAAAGTGGATGAAAGGAGACGTCGGACAGGGCAAGATATGACAAAATACCCATTTATAAACTATCAAGGGCTCATGCGGGAGGGGGGAGCGGGGAGGGAGGGGAAAAATGAGGACCTAATGTCGGGGGTTTCAATGGAGAGAAAATGTTTTGAGAAACGATGTACAAATGCGCTTTACACAATTGATGTGTGTATGGATTGGGATAACAGTTGTATGAGCCCCTAATAAAATGTTAAAAAAAAAAAAAGTTGTGTTTTAATATTTCTTTGCTTCAGTTTATCTAGGTTCAAGTTACATATATGTAGTATAAATGTACTATATAGTGCAGACTTAGATTTTTACATTTTCTTTTGGAGGTGATTTTAGTAAGTTCAAGTAAGCAAGCAAAATTGCTACAGTGAGGAAACCGTCTATTTTAAATTAAGGTGAACTTAAAAATGCAGCTGTGTTTTGTGTGTTTGTGTGTGATTTAATCTAACCCTTAAATTAGATTAAATTATCTCCCTCTGCTAATTTTCCCTCCAACAGTTTTATTGGCCCTTCTTTGCCGAATTTTTAATGACTGTTTTAATAAGAATTAAAAACAACAACACCTTACACAATACCCACTTTTTAACCTATTGTACCAACTTGTCTCTGTGGTTACTCAAATAGCCAGCTGCCTTCAACTACATAGCCTCAAGATTGCTGTAGAAAAGAAGAACATAGATTTTTTTTTTAAACTGCTTCACTTTGCAGAAGTATTAAATATTTTTTTCCTTCAAAATTTTAATCCAGATCTCTTTCTTCAATGTGAAGTTTACTTTACAAATTCAAGCAGACAGGTAGACAAGTGACATTAACTGTAAAGCTTTTAGACAAGAGACTAAAGTACGAATCCTTTTAGTAAAGAAGATAAGTATATTATAACTTTGCTCAGTTGTGGCCATCTTTCCAGTTGGGGCCACATCTTTCCCAATAGATCTGAAACCTAGATTTTTTTAAATGGAAACATAGTTCCAGTTTTAATGTTCGCCAAATTAATTTTAAGATTTTAAGTACTATGTATACCGACTTTATTTCAATTCAGTGGGGCATGTCTTAAGGTTATAAGAATCTGGCCTGTAGCTTAACTATCTAAAATGTTCAGATTGAAAAACATTAATGATTTGATAAATTATACTGTGTCTATATAGTAGACTATTATATAGTCAATAAAATTCCAGTAATTTGCAATAAACATGAATAGATGTAAATAGCACCAAAATGTTAATTTTAGCCATGAGTGAATAGACATTTTTATAACCAGGCAAAAATTTTAAATTATATTATATTGAAGACATCTTGTATTCTGTTATTAATATACTATGATTGTCTTAACTTAAGATACCATGTCTTTTTGTTTGCATCTTTAATCCCAAGTAGTTTTTAAAATGTCCTCTTTTTAGAGATGCTAACTAATTTGTTTTTGTTTTTATTCTTCTCTCTGCGGACTTCTAAAAGAACAACTAAGCCTACTCCTCATTTAGATGGGTAGGTATTCTTTTATTTACCTTAGAACATACTTTTAAATTCATGTTAAAATAGGAATGCTTTATATAATTAATTTTACTTAATTCTGTTAGGCATCATGTTGTTTTTGGGCAAGTGATCTCTGGTCAAGAAGTTGTGAGAGAAATAGAAAACCAGAAAACAGATGCAGCTAGCAAACCATTTGCTGAAGTACGGATACTCAGTTGTGGAGAGCTAATTCCCAAATCTAAAGGTAAGAACAAACCAAGTACTTATTTCTGAGAATTTTATGCTCGAAAACCAGCTGAGCTTTCTATATAGTTAGCATGAAATTAACAGTATTGTAATGTAAATATGAGATTGACATGCTTCTACACTTATTTTTGTGGGTTTAAGTGTTTACTTAATTATATTTTGTTCATTTATCTTGAATCTGCTTGATTGTTCCTTTTTACTAATTTGTCTTCTGTTTCCACTTTGTTTTTAATTGTAATTGCATGGTACAGCAAACATTCTTCCAGGGAAAGAGGCAGTGAGGAGAGGGTGAAAATTGAAGAGGGGAATACATTCCCCTTCATCTATGGCTTAGATTCAGAAGCATCTAGCAAGTTTAAGAAACCTTTTTTACTTAGAACAAAAGTTAAATTGTGTAACATGATATTTAAATTGGCAAAATTTTTGTTTTCAGTAATATTTTAAGTGTGTATCTTGTTGTTTGGTGCCATGAAGTCATTCGACCCATAGTGATGACCCTGTGCACACAGAACAAAACACTTCCTGGTCATGTGCCACCCTCACAGTTGTTCCTATGTTTTTATATACTAGGGTGTACCCCCCCCCCCCAAGAAAAAAACCCAGTCCCCTCCCCCACCCAAAGCTATGTATTTCCATGTTTTTACAAAACAACCATATCACCTTCAAAGTACTCTCCATTACACTTAATGCTATGTCAAATCTGCGATTCCATTCTTGGAAACACTTGCCAGGCTCATCTGTTTGGGTCACTGTCCTTGCGGGTCCTTCTTCATTCTCGGAAACAAAAAGAAGTCACACACAGAGAGGTCAGCGTGGGGCAAGGAAGACATGCTGGGGTTGTTTTGGGGTTTTGTTTGTTTGTTTTTTGCCAAAAACTGGCGCACTGAGATGCGCCCCCTTAGGAAGTGTGTGCACAGGTGCATTTTCATGGTGGCAAAACCAGTCCCCCGTATGCCACAAATCGGGCCTTTTTGTTGCACACTACTTTGCACTTTTTTCATAGCCTCTAAATAGAAAGCTTGATTAACAGTCTGACTGGGTGGACAAACTCCAATACACTATCCCCCTCACATAAAAAAAAAATCTAATGAGCATCACCTTGATATTTGATTTCACTTGAGCGTTTGGGGGGCAAGGTGACAATGACATCTTGCACTGGCCAATTGATGTTTACTTTGGGGTTGTAAAAATAGCACCACGTCTCATTACCAGTATTGACCTTGGGAACAAAGCCTGGGTCGCTGTTCTTTCACAGCAAGGCATGTTTCCAGCCGACACTCTCTTTTGCTGGTCAATCAGAACCCAAGGCACAAGTTTTGCAGGGACCCTTCTCATTCCCAAATCTTCTGTTAAAATTCCCTGAACTTTAGGCCAGATAACTTTCCCATCTCTTCAATATTCCTTTGTCGGTCTTCAATCACAAGTGCATGAATTTTGTCAACATTTTTGTATATCAGAGCAAGGTTTGTCATCAATTGACATTTCACCTTTTTTGAAATGAAAAGACCACTCACACACTTGAGTGTTTCCATAGCACTGTCCTTGTAAGCTGCGTTTAACATCACAGCAATTTCTGTGGCATTTTTCCCAAGCAAGAAACAGAATTTCACAGCTGCATGCTGTTCTCTTAAATCGGCTATCAAAAAAAAGGTGATTCAAGCAAAACTTCTTTTATGAAAAAATTCACTGTAACCGGAGAACGTTCCCAAGTGATGCAACTGGATGCACTAACTCAGAACAAGTTGCTCTAGGTTTGCTTAGCAGGAAAAATGCATACTGTGAAAGCTCTGCCCTGTGGAGCTTTTTCCATTTTGGGGGGGAGGACCCCTCATAAAATAGGTCACTACTACCGTTTGTTAGCTATTGGGTTTGATACTCTAAAAGTAATGTATTATGATTACTTTCAAATCTGAGTAAGAAGCATAATAAAATATTTAACTTTTTCTACTAGCTTAGGAAATAATAATGTTATTTGTTTTGTTATGACTGATATCCCTGAAATATTATCTCCCATTTTATAGTTGAAACTAGTAAAGGAAGTTAAGTTATTCACTACATCAGGGGGCTCATCTACAAGGGGCGTTTTCTGACTTCTCCATCTAAAGACTCCAGAGCGAGAGCTTTCTTCGTTATGTGGCACGGACTCATTGAACCATAGATATCTAACGTCACTTTTAGAATTGTATCAAGTAAAACATTCTGTTCTGTTCTTTAGTAATACGTACGGTTTGTCTTTTTAATTTAACAAGTATCAAGATGGGCTGAAAGAAGGCAAAGTGATTATGCTTGTTTTTAATTTTCAGTCTCTGTGTTCTCTTTTGATCTGATCGTTTCAGGGGTTTTTTGCATGTCATATCAAATGCGTTGTCGATATATACTGTAGCACATATTGGATTGTTTGTATAACGACTTATTTGTGAGCCTGATTATGCATACCTTTATTTACTAATAAGTATGATGTGTGCTTTTTATTCTTGAAGTTTTGTAAAGAAGTAATGCTTAGTATCTTTGCTCTATAAATACAATCATTTATATCTTTTAAAATAGTTATTTATATTAATGTTTGTAAACCTCACACCTTAATCCTACTGGTATTCTTCAGAGTAACTAGAATGTTTTGAATTAGGCATTATTTCTCTCATATGCTCTAAGAAATTTCCAGTCTTTACATACACCCCCACCCCCCCATCACCCCCCACTTTAGTCCTTCACTTAATATTCATACTCAGAATGTTGTCAGTATGGATTTTATCACGCAACTCTGCAATCTTGTTTTACGCAGAGCTGTCATTTCCAGTTTTATAAATTTGATAGTCTCTTTACAAGAATTTTGAGGAGAGTCAAAAAGCCTTTTGTAACACTGGTGTTCCTCATCATTATATTCTAAAACCTTACGTGAGAGTTTTAACACCCCAGAGTAAGAAGAAATAAATACAGAAACTTTTTTCTTCTTTTTTTTTTAACTTCCTGAAAGAAAACAAAAAGACTTCTGAAGAAATCTGACTGCCTACACCCCCCACACTCCCCACACCCCCCTGTATATGGTCTTGGTGAGTCTGGGCATCATCTTGGGCCTTCTCCTGTCGGTATTGTGAGACTGGAAATACTGCCTTTTGTGGCTATTTAAGTGTGTCAGCGAAGCTTTGGGGTCTGGGAGAAAACCCTGCTAGCAGATGTAGAATGAACTGCTGGAGGCTGTGATTAATAACTGAATACCCTACAGAGAGTCTACAAAGGCCTGCTTAGGGACAAAAGAGAAGACAGAAAGAGACCATCAGAAAAGTACACCACGATCTTTATTAAGGAACTTTGCCATTTTTCAGGAGTTTGATGTGATCCTAAATTGTTCCATTTGTTAAAAGGAAGGCCCTGACCATCTTGGCTACAGCAACATGGAGACCCTGGTAGTAAATACACAGAAACAAGACTGAGTTGTAGTAATATGGCACCATTTAACCGAAAAGAAATTTTGCCAACTGTGGTGATAAACAAATTGCCCAGTAGAGGAAGCAGCTGGTGCATTTTACATTGGAGACAAATGAAGAACACCAGAGTTAGCTTTCTAGGATGACAGGTGACAGGCTCTGTTCCGGAAGTAAGAGAGTCCGTACTGATGTCACTTTTAGTGGAGAGTAGCGGGACGTTAAACTTAGAAATTGTTTCGAAGAAGAGACTAAAGATGACAGGAAATTGCATGGAGAAACAATACTGTTATTTCAGACCTTATTTTGAGTAGAGCCAAAAATTCATGCCTTTCAAGTTTATCGATTTCAATAAACAGCAACAGTTTCTTATATTATGTTTTTGTAAGTAACATGTTCTAGAGCTTTTGTGTTTGTTTTTAATCTTAATAACTGCAAGTAACTTCAATATTTATTGGCAATACACCCTTTAACTCCTTTAAAAAGGTTAGTAAACAGGATTGGAAGATTCTTTTATGTAGTGATAAGCAGACAATGTAATCTAACATAGATCAAAACTGTTATCCTTTGCAGGTCTTTTTCATCTGTTATGACTCTTGGCTTGTGTCGTTGTGCACGACCGAAGGGAACACTCCCTGTTGTTGCAGCCACTGTGTCATCCATCTCGTTGAGCGTCCACTTCTTTTTCACTGCCCTCCCCCCACCCCTCCCCAAGCATGATGTCCTCTAGGAACTGACAACCTGTCCTAAGTAAGACAAGTCTCTCCATCCTTGCCTTTAATGAGCACTCTTGTACTTCTTCCAAGACCGATTGATTGTAAAAGCTACTTTAAAATGAATTTTATGTAAGTAGTTAGGCAAGAAGTGGCATTTTTTTAGGGAATAGATTGAAAGTAATTGTTACCATCCTTGGAATGTTTACATTTTCTTAAGTTTTTTTATTTACTACATTGATTAGGTTCAGAATTTAGGAAGCATAGAGATGGTCAATGAAAGATCTCCTTTCTCTCTTCCATTTTGTGTGTGTGTACCAAAGTTTCCAGTGGCCACTTCCGTTCTTTCTTCCTGCTATTGGGAATAGTGCGGTAATGAACCTGGGTGTGCATGTACTGCTTAGGCCATGGCTTTTTTTTCTTTAGGATATTTGTGTATCATTCTTTAGTATGATTACAAACCATTCATTGATGTTGATGTACCAGTATTTGTGTAACTGGTTCTCCATTGGTGGTCATTATATTGCTTTCAATATATTCTTACAAACTGTGAAATGAATAATTTTGTCATTCCATTTGTTTGCAACCATTTATCATGTAGAGTAAACTTCTAGTAATGTAAGTACTAGACTATAGGGATCAAGCATTTGCACCATGGGTCTCTGCTATTCCCTCTGATACTCACATTGGATCATTTCTATTTATCTTTTAAATTTATTGATTCGTTTCCTCTGTCATTGCCATTCTGCTGGGGAATACATCCACTGAATTTTCATTTTAGTTAATGTATTTTTAGTTCTAAGTTTCCATTTCTGTTTTCTATTTTGGGGCTAAAGTTTGTTTTTTTTTCCACTTGGTTTAGGAGTCTTTATACCTGCTTAAAGCGCATTCAAAATGGTGTCTTAAATTCTTGTTAATCCGTTCAACCTCTGAGTCATCTTATGATTGTCTTTTCTCATTTAAGTTGTGATTTCCTTGATGATGGGTAGTTTGTTATGAGCCTGGGTTCTATTTAAAATTTGTATTTTCGTGGGCTGTCATTTTATTTAGGTTCGTTGTGTGGCCTGGCTTGTGTAGGCTGTGGTACCAATGGTGATACTGTTTTCAGACCCCTTGCTGTGCTGCTGTGGTTTGCACAGCAAACCAATCTGAAAAGCTCAAACCTTTTTCCATATTAATTATGATTAGTTTTATTTGACAATTGCAAGTTTTTCACCTTGTCTAAAAAATCCTTCCTTTTTAAAAATCCAGAATCTACTCACCCTTAAAGGAGATTTTGTTTATAAGCCATGCTTACCCTTTGTTAAGTACAGATATAATCATTACTTTCTTCTACCCTAATTTTAAATCATAATTGAAGAGAGCTTCAAAAAATTCCTGGAAAAATGGAATGAAACGATAATGGCCATGGATGCAATTTGGAGTATGTTACATTGAGTGAGGTTAAGTCAAGCACAAGAGGACAAATATTGTTTGAGGCCACTGTTATTTATTTATTCCTTTTTAATCAAGAAAAGGTTTTCTTTTCTTTT